CCCTTGAAACTTCCCCAAGTGTCTGCACAACTTACCTTTTCCCGACTTCTCTTCTACACTCGCCTCCCCTCCGCTAACCCGGCAGGCCGAGGACATTAGAAATTTGGGACGCACAGAACGTTCAAGTCTAGGATTTTATGTTGCTGTTTTTTTTTCCAGCGGGGCGTAGGGTGGGGCGCGGTGCGGGGGGGACTAGGGAAACTCTTTCCCCCTGGAGGACACGGCCTGGCGGGGGCGAGCGCGGCACAGTTTAGCGCGCCGCACGCGTCGATACTTGCGCTCGCTTTGCAGCCGGCGCTCTCCGGGTGTGGGCGGGTGGGGGGCGTCGCAAAAAAAGACCACAACCAGGGCCGACTGTTTTACCAGGCCTAGGCGCGGCGTTTCTTTTCACGCATCCAATCTTTAAACTTTAGTCAAGAAAACCCTAATCCTTCCTGAATGCCCTTTCCTCCCAGAAAAAGCCCACCGAGCAACTAACTCACTACTTTCCACGCGCGCTCTGAATTCTAGGCGGCGCCACAACCCTCCCTCCTCCTCCATCCTCCCCCCACACACCTCAAGACTCTAGAACAATGAAAAAAGGTTACTTTGGTAAGAATGAAGGTAAAGAGGTGGACGGAGGCGGCACTTTAAACTTGTTACTTCTCTCTCGCCCCCACGGGAGTGGAACGTATGGCTTGTCACGCTGCGCCGTTTTGGCGGGAGGTGGAGTGGGGGGCATGGGAGCCACGAAACCGAAGGGCCCGCAATGGAGCATGACTCCCTTGAAAATGATAAAATATATACTGTTAGGTTTGGATGCCACCCACCCAAATAAAAAGTTATCGTGTCCCCCACCCGCCCCTTGCGCCTTGGCCCGAGTGCTGGTGTGATGACCCGGGCGGAAGTCGCAGGGCTGCGCTTTTTTCCGATTTCCACGCGGGCCCCGCCGCCCCCTCGGCCCTCGCACGTTTCTTCCCAGCACTCGAGGCCGCCGAGTCTGTTATGAAACCCGGTGCTGGTGTGGCTAAGATTGAGTTCCATTGCGATGTAATTAGGTCACCCCATCATGAGCACGTTTCTTTGGAAAGGACGGGGCGGGCAGAAGAGAGCGCTCGAGTCACACTCTCACCACCCCCAACACACACTTTTTTTTTTTTTAATGCATTTCTTATTTATTCATCAACATCTGGGCAAACCCAGCGAAACCTTCCAAATCACAACTGTTTGAGAAACCGGTTGTTTTTCAACTTTGCGAAACACAACGTTTGCTGCAGCCACGAACCTACGTGATCCCAGCGGCGTCGGCTTTCGTTCGTCTCCTCTGCCTGAAATGGATGGCCCCCACTTTAACCCGGCTGCTGCCCTGCAGCCGCCTGTTGCTTCCCTCCCTCTGCTCCCATTTTTCAGCTTTTCTTGAAATCTGGCAAGCGCCAGAAAGGGAAATAACTTCCATCCACCTTAATTTAAATCATTCAAGTGTAGGTTTCTTTCTTACAGGGATGTTTGCTGGTTCTTTTCCCAGCCCAAGTGGGTGTTGGGGCGGGGGGGAAGATTTCGTGCAGTTTCTTGGTGATGAGGTAATGAGTTCCAGATTTCAGGACAGAGCAGGGTGCGCGTTGAAACCACAAGGTTAGTCTGAGTTCTGATGTGAAGCTATTTCGGTTTTTTATTCCCCCGGCCTCCACCCATTCCCGCTCCCCCACCCCCCAAAAAGAAAGGGCCGGCGGGTCTTTAACTCCCAAGGGTTCGCGAAGCTCAGCTTGGGAGACCGGAGGAGGGGCTGGAAAAAAGCAAAGGGGAAGGGGACTGGGAGCGGGCGGGGACCCTTCCCGGCCCAGGGCCTGTCCCCGCGGGGCACCGGCTGTGCCTCTGCATCGGGCGGCGCCGCTTTCGCTCCAAGGCTGCGGGACCGGCCAGGAGCACCATCAGGCGCCCCAGAATGGCTACAAAGTGGGTTTTTCCAAAGAAAGCTGATTCCTCGATTTTCCTCGGCTTTTCCAACTCCCGGCGGCCCTCCCCCTCCCCCTCTCCCCAGGGGCGGGCTCCGCAAGCCTGCGGCTGGCCTAGCCCGCTCGCTCCCGAGTTGTTTACCGGCCCCGCCGACCGAGAGTTTGTTCCAGCTCCCAGAGCCTGTCTCTATAATTAAACTCTTTTTTAAATTGTCGGGTTGAAACGTCATTTCGGGGACTTTCCAAGGGTGAGGCAGCCGAGAGGAGGGAGCAAGTCCCTTAACCCTTCGCTGACCCGACGTCCCCGCCGCGGCTGGCCGGGGTGGGGTGAGGGCCCGAGGGCGGGAGCCGGCCCGCCCCCGCCCAGACGTGGTCGGCAGGTGCCCTGGGGTGGCGGGAGGGCGGCCAGCCTCTACGGGGCAGGAAGTCCGAGACGAGGCGTGCGCGGCCGTCCCCCGCCAACTTCGCGGTGCAGTCGGCCCTCCCGCTCCTTACCCGCGCAGTCCCGCGGCTGGCCGCTGCCTCACCTGCACTGCCGCTTCCGACCGGGAGGCGGTGGGCCGGCTCCTCCGTCCCGGGCCCGACTTCCGGGCCCTCCCCATTCGCCTGGAGCGCGTCCCTTCGTGGGGAGGGGTGGCCCAGGTATTTTAGCTTGGAGGTGGGGGTGGGGTGGGATGTTCGGTTTTGTGCAAGGGGGAAAGTGAAAGTCTTCGGAGTGAAGGAGGCGCTGCGGATATATTCATCAGCCAATCTGGACCCCAAGCGCACCTCCGGGCCGGTGAGAGTCTAGAGCACTGGGCCGCAGAACCCAGACGGTTAGGCCTAGTCACAGGGGTCAGCAGGGTACCCTCTCCTGAGAGCCCTGCAGTGTTGCACTTCCTCTCAGGCTTCAGGTCATTCGCAAAATCCCCTAAATTCTTCAGGTGGAGAGAGACAGACCCCTGGAGTCCCCTAATTTAAAGTTTGGAATGCTGATTTCCCGGCCCAGATGGGAGCGAGAATCTGCATTTTTGGTAAATTTCCATCTCACGACCCAAATACTAATGTTTGAGAATCAGTGAGCCAGAACATTGAAGTTAGGCAGTCCTGGATCCAAATCTTGGCCATTTTCTAGCTATGTGACTTTTCAAGTCACTGACCAAGGCCTCAGTTTCTTCATCTCTGAAATAGGAATCATGATAACTGCCTAAATTTGACCCATAAAGTGCCTAGAGGCATGCCTCACTGAATATATGCCAGGCTGTTGTATGTAAACTAAGGCATTTGGCAACCCTTATTACACCACAAAACAAATTCCGGGGCTATTCACTTGGCAAAGGATTATTCGGTGTAGACTTCCACTAAATGGCCAACTGACAACTTATAAGTTGATCTGTGTCACTTTCTAGCCTCCATCCCCAGCCCTGGATAAGGCAGGCCCTGAGGCCTGGAAATGGGGAGAGGGCACTGGGCTTGGAGCCTGGGGGACAGTAAAGTGGTTCAGGGTAGGGTGATGGGGATTTGTTGCCCACATCTGAAAAATACCTGATTATTGACACAAGTATTTCTGTAAACAACTACATCACTGGGGCCTTGTGGTAGTCTATAAAACCCAGACTGTCTTATCTCTCAAAGTCCTTAAGCCCCTCAGAAAGCTTAGTGTATATTACTGAGCTGTCAATATTCTCCTGAACAAGACAGGGGCCTCAGGAGAGGGCACTTTAGGGTCTATCGTAAATGTGGCCCTGCAGGGTGTCTGGAATCTTTGGGTTTGGGAGCAGACCGCCTCCTGCAAGGACTACTGAGAATCCAGTCCCAGGTCCAGCATTGCCCTGGGGGGTCTAATTGCCCAGGTCTCTGCAAGATGTTCCAACTGTCAGTGAAGTTATAAGGCCAGCCCACAGCTACACCTCTCCACTGGCCCTAACCTAGGCCCCACCTAGAGCAGTCAGGCATAATGACTCTTACTACAGGTTAGATTTTTTTCACTCCCCATCACCACTTCTCCCACCCTCCAGGGAACTCCCTGTGCTCTAGTCCTTTTTAGATGAAAATGAGCCATCTTCCTCCTACTCTGGGGCCTTTGCACATGCAAATCCTTCTGTGAGAATCAACCTTCCTTTAGCCCAAGTAAATTCTAAATCATTCTTTAGAACCCAACTCAAGCCTCACTTCCTCAGGGAAAATATTCCTGATGCTTTCCTTCATCACATAACAGTGTCCCTCCTCTCTCTTAGGCTCTCATGGAATGTTCATTTCCTTCAAAGTAGTTATTTCAGTTTGTGAGTATACATTCATTCCTGTAACTTTTTTTTTTAATTTTCAATTTAACATACAGTAAAATTGATCTTTATTTGGCATACAGTTCTATGAATTTTAACTTATGAATTGATTCATGTAACCACCACCACAATCAGGAAACACAACAGTTCCATCACCCCTCAAAAACTCCCTCATACTATCCCTTTGCGTTCAAACTTTCTCCATCTCTAATCCCTGGCAACCCCACTAATCTGTTCTCTGTCATCGCAGTTTTGTCTTCCCAGAATGTCATACAAATGAAATCATATTGTATGTTTGGTTTCATGCAGCATATGCCTTTGATATTTAACCATGTTGTTGCATGTATCAATAGATCATTCCTTTTTATTGATAAACAGTACTTCACTGTGCGCTTATACAATAGTTTATCCATTTTCCTGTTGGACATTGGATTATTTCCAGCTTTGGGCCACTATGAATAAAGTTTCAATAAACTCTCATGTACAGGTTTTTGTGTGAATACAAGTTCTTATTTCTTTTTTTTTTTTTTTTTTTTTCATTTTGAGTCTCACTCTGTCACCCAGGCTGGAGTGCAGTGGCGCAATCTTGGCTCACTGCAAGCTCTGCCTCCTGGGTTCACACCATTCTCCTGCCTCACCCTCCCAAGTATCTTGGACTACAGGTGCCCGTCACCACGTCCAGCTAATTTTGTTTTTGTATTTTTAGTAGACATGGGGTTTCACCGTGTTAGCCAGGATGGTCTCGATCTCCTGACCTCAGGATCTGCCAACCTTGGGATCCACCTGCCTCGGCCTCCCAAAGTGCTGGGATTACAGGCGTGAGCCACCGCACCTGGCCAAGTTCTTATTTCTCTAGGATAAGTAACTAGGAGTGAGATTTCTGGGTCACATGGTAACTATATGTTGAAATTAATACAAAACTGCCAAATCATTTTCCAAAGTGGCTATACTATTTTGCATTTCCAACAACAACATATGAGAGTTTCCACTTACTCCACATCCTCACCAGCACTTAACGGTATTACTATTTTTTGTTTTAGTCATTCTAATAGGTATGTGGTGGTATCACATTGTGGTTTTAGTTTGCATTCCTCTAATGGCTAATGATGTTGAACATCTTTTCGTATGCTTATTTGCCATCTGCATATACTTTTTGGTGAAGCGTCTATTCAAACCTTTTGCCTATTTTTTAGTTGGGTCATTTCATTGGTCATTTTCTTACTGTTCAGTTTTGAGAGTTTTTTACATATTCTGGATACATAAAGTTCCTTTGTTGCTTATGTGATGTGCAAATATCTTCTCATGTCTGTGCCTTATCTTTTAACTCTCCAAGCAAAGGATCTTTCACAGAGCAAAAGTTTTTCATTTTAATGAAGTCTAATTTATCAGTTTTACCTTTTGTGGATCAGGCTTTTGGTGTCACAGCTAAGAAATCTTTGTCTAACCGCAAGTCATTAAGATTTTTTGTTTTCTTCTGAAAGTGTTATATATTTTCATGGTCTGTTGTTAGGTGCATAAATGTATATAACTGTTCTATCTTCTTGCTATATTGAGCATTTTATTAATATATAATGTCCTTATCTCTTGTAACCTTTTTAGATTTAAAATCTATTTTATATAATATTAGTAGAGCCATTCCTGCTCTCTTTTGGTTACTGTTTGCATGAAACATCTTTTTCTGCCCTTTTACTTTCAATCTGTTTGTGTCTTTAAATCTAAAGTTAGTCTTTTGTAGACAACATATAGTTGGATCAGATTTTCTGTTTATCCATTCTGCCAATCACTGTCTTTTGATTGGGGCATTTAATTAACATTTAAAGTGATTACTGATGAGAAGGGACTTAGTTCTGTCATTCTGTTGTTTTCTAGATGCCTTAGAGTTGTATTGTTCCTCATTTTTCTGCACTACTATCTTATTTTGCGTTAGTTGATTTTCCATAGTGAAACATTTAAATTCCTTTCTCATTTTCTTTGGTACATTTTCTTTTATACTACAACTACAGTAGTCCTTCCTTTATCCATATAGGATATGTTCCAAGACCCCCAGTAGATGCTGGAAACCAGGGATAGTACTGAACCCTCCATATACTATGACAATTTTTTTTCCTTCAGAATTTCATGGATAGAATTTTCATTCGTACTATAGATCTTAGCAATATAAGCATATGCTTCTTCTTCCTTGTTGAGAATTTTCACCTTTTCACTTGAAGCAGTTTACTGCTTTGTTCTCTCCAAATTGCCTTTTATCTGACCTCTCCAAATTGCCAGCATCACTACTCTTGCATTTTGGGGTCATTATTAAGTAAAATAAAGATTCCTTGAACACAGGCGCTGTGATACCACAGCAGTCAATTAGATAACCAAGATGGCTACCAAGTGACTGATGGACAGGTAGCAGATATGGTGTGGATACACTGGACAAAGAGATGATTCATGTCCCAGGCAGGATGGAGCAGGATAGCACGAGATTTCATCATATTACTCAGAATAGCATACAATTTAAAACTTATTGTTTATTTCTGGAATTTTCCATTTAATATTTCCAGACTGTGGTTGATTGTGGATAACTGAAACTACAGAAAGTGAAACCACAGGTAAGGGGGGACTATTGTATTTTCTTTGTGGTTACCGTGGGGATTACATTTAACATCCTAAAGTTAAAACACTCGAATTTGAATTTATAACAGCTTAACTTCAAAAACATACAAAAATTCTGCTCCTTTACAGCTGCATCTGCATCCCTTTTGATTATTGATATCACATAATTACGTCTTTATACATTTTGTGCCCCAATATAGAAACTAATAATTATTTTAAATGTGTTAGTCTTTTAAATTATGTAGAAAACAAATGTGGCATTACAATCTAAAGTTATAATAATTTTAGCTTTTAGACTAATAATTGTTTTTTAAAGCAGTCTCTTAAATTTTGTCACAAAGTAAACTTACAAACTGTTGTTTCAATAATACTAGCTCTTATAATTGCCTTTATTGAGATCTTCATTTCTTCATATGGTTTCAAGTTACTGTCTACTGTTCTTTATTTTACTTTGCAGGACACCCTTGGAGCATTTCTTACAGGACAAGTCTAGTGGTAGTGAATTCCCTCAGCTTTTGTTTATTTAGGAATGTCTTACTTTCTCCATCACTTTTGAAGGACAGTTTTTCCGGATATAGTATTCTTGTTTGATTTTTGTTTTTCTTTTAACATTTTAAATATGTTGTCCCACTGCCTCTGGTCTCCAAAATTTCTGATGAGAAATCTGCTAATAATCTCATTAAGGATCCCTTGTAGTGGGATGCAGTGGGATTTCACACCTGAAATCCGAGCACTTTGGGAGGCCAAGGCAGGCGGATTGCTTGAGATCTGCAGTTCAAGATCAGCTTGGGCAACAAAGGAAGACCCTATGTCTTTAATTAAAAAAAAAAAAAATGTATTTTATGTGAGTCACTTCTTTGTTGCTGCTTCAAGATTCTCTTTTTGTCTTTGA